AGGGCCAGTAGAGGGAAGGGCCGTGGGGCAGGGAGGTGGGGAGAGATGCTCCATCGCACTCCAGGCCGACAGGGTTCTGAGCCTGCGGCCACTCCTGTTTACAGCACGCCCGCTATTGGCCAGAGAATCTGCTTGTTCCTTGGCGCTGGCCACCCGGTTGGATTCTCCGGTTGGGGCCCTTGCTGACCGGTGAACGGGATTTGTTGAGGCCCTACTATGCGTGAGAGTGTGGGGTCCCAGAACAAGGACACAGGAGACATTCAGGGGAAGCCCTGTGGAGGACGCCAGGCAGGGTGGGGGGGGCTAGGGAGGGGCCGGGGGAGGAGGCTGGGGAGACTGGGGGTCGGGGGACGGGCAGAGAGCAGGCAAGGCAGGGGAGGAGCCCATGGCGGGACCCTCAGGCCTGGGTCTGGAGGGTGGAGCCCGGGCCCTCCTCAGAGGCCTCTGGGCAGGGTCTCTGCAGGCTTAGGAGGCCTGGGCCAGCCACTCCCCTTCTCGGGGCCTCAGTTTCCACCTGTGGAGACGGGCAGGGCTGGGGTCAGAGCTCTCCCAGCCCCTGGCAGTCTGTGCAGAGAGAGGTGCTGAGGCCAGGTGCTGCGGGACCCAAGCGGAGGGCTGCGTAGCCCGGAGGTGGGCTCTGCAGGGGGTGGGAGTAGCCCTTTGAGCAGGGTGTCCCAGCCCTGAGCTCAGAGTGGGGAGCCCCGGGAGGGCCTGGCGGAGCGGGGAGGACACTCTAGACCAGGGGGAGGGATGGTCTGGAAAGAAGGCCCCTGAGGAGGTGGGTGCGATGAGGTGCAGCTGGTGGGGGGGAGGGGCGGGCCTGTGGCTGGAGCAGAGCTGCAGGGAGCCCACGTGTTCTCGCGGTCACCCCGTCAGTGCCAGCGTGGGTGCGGTGCGTGCGAAGGTGCAGGGCCTTCCTGCCAGCATGCTGGGGTGGGGTGCAGGCACCGACCGCAGCCACGGGACTCAGCCCTGGGAAAGGCTCAGCGCCATCCAGAGAGGCCAGAGACTATGGGAGAAAGGATGCCTCCGCACTGCCGGGTGGTCTGGACTTGCTAGCTCGGGCCGTCTCCAGAGCGAGTGCTGTCTTAGCAAGCACACGGCTCCTCTGGAGGTGTTGACACAGGCGGCCTCTGGCACCCCACTGCCTCTCCCAGAAACTCCCCCAGGCAGCCCTGGGGTGGGGCTGGTGCAGGTGGTGGGGAGCCATGTCACCCCCGCTCTGCTGTCATCAGCCTGCCCACCGCCTGCCGGCTTTAAGGAGGGGTACAGTCAGGGGGACCGGCTCACCTCAGCCCTGCTTCCCCACCACCCCCATCAGGTAGCACCTGCCTAGGCTTCGGCAGCTCAGGAGGAAAACCAAGGCTGACTGCAGGTCAGTGCCAGCAGGTCAGTGCCCCTGGGGCCAGGGGTCTCAGAGTGGAATGAGGGCTGGGATGGGGTAACAGCAGGCGGGGGCTGGCATGGGGTCTCAGCAGGCGGGGGCTGGCATGGGGGTCTCAGCAGGCGGGGGCTGGCATGGGGTCTCAGCAGGCGGGGGCTGGCATGGGGTTTTGAACCTCAGCAGTGTCCTGATAGAGGAGATCTGCGGGAGGTGATGGTCTAGAAAGGGGGGGCATGAGCGTGGACAGCAGTGCAGAGGAACTTAGGGTGTCTCCCAGGGCCTGGACTCCCACGTCATTCAAGTCTCTGAAATGTATCCGTGGGTTGAGACAAGCATCTGAAGCTGAAAGGGGAGGTATCCGAGTGGGGTTTTCCTAGCACAGTGAGTGCTGCTTTGTGAAACTTGTCCTGGATCCTGGGCTATTTCTAAAGTGGGGTCCCAGCTCCAGAGGTCTCTATGGTGCCCAGGCAACGGGGGTCTGCGCCCACTCTCTGCCCCAGATCCCATTCAGGGAGTCTGCAGCAGGGAGGGCTGGCGGGAGGCTGTGCTGTGCTCGGACCTCCCAAACATGACCAGACTTATCTCCAGGTGACAGCAAAGGTATTTCAGCGCATAATCAGAGGGTGGCTTCCTACGTCTTGCAGGGGAAGCCGATTGATCTCACTGTCACCCCTGGAGCAGGTAGCGACACCTCTGAGGTACTCCTACCCCTCGGGCCAGCCTCCCCCAGCAGGAACTGGCAGAGGGCCCCTGACAGCCGAGCGTTCTGAGCACCGGCCGTGCTACAAGGGGCCCTATAGCCGCCACAGGGCAATGGCCTCACAGTGTGTGTTGAAGGTGACAGGTCTGTACATCCAAGCAGGAGGCCAGCTGGGGTCCCTGTTCACCACAGAGGGCCCCATGCCCTCGCCTGGCACAAGCGGGGACCCGAACTGGTTGCCGTGTCTTCTGGGGCCCCCATGCTATTTGAGCTGGACCTTGGGACTCGGCTCCCCAAACTTTTTTCACCCTGAAGGGCAGAGATGAGGTGCCATGAACAAGGCATTTCCTCAACGTCTTGTGCTCACCTTGAGACTCTTGCAAAGTTGGTGTCCTCCCTGACAGTGGGTTTTATTATAAAAGGGAAATTGAAAGACTGCAGTTAGATTTCTTAACCTTTCTGCACAAAATATTGGGCCACACTGAGGCTACACTGAAAGTTTTACACCCCGGGGTGTGTGGACCGGGGCCCAGACCCTAGGCAGCCGTCTGAGTGGAGGGCATCAAGGGAGGGGACAGGCCTGCCTCCTCCTCTCCCACCCAGGCAGTGCCCTGGGCTGCGGGTGATCCAGAAGAGACAGCAACCATCCACTGCTGCGGTACCACTGGCCAGAGTAGTGAGGGGTAGGCCCTGGACCCAGCTCGGGTGGGGAGATGGCACGGAGGAGCCCCTGTGGCAGCTGGGCCTGCAGAATCAGGGGATATTCCCAGTAGGCTCTGAGGGTTCTGGGCTGGGGGTGCCACAAAGAGCTGGCCTGGCTGCAGCCAGCAGGGCAGGCGGGCAGGAAGGGAGGATCCCAGCAGTTGTTCCGGTGGGTTCCAGGGTCTGAGGAGACTGCCTGCATGGGTCTGGGGGTCACTGGACCTGTGCAGAGTGTCACTCAGAACAGGGAGAGAACAAGCAGAATCCTGCAAAAACGAGGAGAGAGGCTCCTTGGGGGCTGTAGAGATTTCATACACAGTGAAAGAGCCCATGAAAATTTAATTGCTGGCAAATGTGCCATTTATAATTCAGCAGAGATGGAAGGGGCTAATTGGTGGAAGACTTCTGTTCTGGCTGCAGTCTGTGCTCCTGCCTCCCTAGTGGACTGTGGCCTGGAGGTTCCCGGGCGGCCGTGGCTGAGGAAGTGGGCACCCCCTTGCCAGACGCCAGTGAACCTGACACTGCAGCCGCTGGGCTCTAGAGGGTTCTTCCCTTCCTGTGGGGGGAGGGGCCGGCAGAGCATAACACACCAGCCTGGCTGTGGGCCCTCCCCTGAGTGGACTGAACCCCCTTCCCTACCTCACCTAACGGTCAGCGAGCCCCCAAGAGGGCCTGTGCTCATGGGGGAAGGAAGGCCACTCCCACCCCACCCCTCCAGGCCCTTCCAGCCAGAGAAACAAAGGTGGGGGGATGGGAGGGGGTCTGGTGGGCCTGCGCCACTCACGCATGCGTGCTCCGTGGTCCCGCACGTTTGACACCAGCACCCCCGGGTGCTGCCCGGCTCAGGGTGAAGCCAGAGCCTGACCTTTGCACCATCTGCCCTGGCCCGGAATGTCAGAGCGCTGACCCCGCCCACCTCCACCCTGGTGAGCTGATCCCAGCAGCCCCCAGCTGTGTCACAGAGCATGTCCAGGGGAGCAAGAGGCACAGAGGGTGAGGCCACGTGCGTGCTTCTGATGACAGGGTGTACGACGCCCAGTGCCACCCTAAGGCCGGCTCTGAGCCACGGGTCTGCACCCGGAGGAGCAGGGCTGCCCTCATGGCCCTGGCTGTAGGGAGCTCAAGGGGACTCCTGACCCCAGGGGGGCCTCAGGCCAATCTAAGTGGGACCTCAGGGCAGAGAGCTGGGGAGGGTCTCGGAGGGAGGGAGGGAGGGAGGGAGGCTGGCACCTGGAGTGGCCCCAGTCACTGTGCCCTCAGGAAGAGGATAAAGCACTGGAGGGAGGGAGGAGGGAGGGTGGGAGAGGGAAGGATTGGGAGTTTGGGGTTAGCAGATGCAAACTATTATATATAGAAAGGGTAAACCACAAGGTCCTACTGTCTAGCACAGGGAACTATATTCAATATCCTGTGATAAACCATAATGGAAAAGAATATTAAAAAAGAAGATATATATGTATGTGTGTATATATAATATGTATAACTGAATCACTTGTTGTATAGCAGAAATCAGCTACACTTCAATTTTTTTAAAAGGGCTCTGGGGCCACGGACCCTGCTGTCCTGAACCTCAGCAGCCAGGAAAGGCCAGGTGGGGCAGGTGCCGGCCCACCGAGGTGCAGGTGTGGGTCAGACTCGGGCACCACCTGCAGCTGTGTTTGCCGAGCGGGTGGAGGGGGCAGTAGGCGGCCCTGGGCTTTGTCCTCAGCCTGTCTTGGAGTCGCCTCTGAGCGTCCCCCAACCCTGTGAGAATGGTACTGGGTCTGGGGTGAGGCTGGCCCCCCCATTCCAAGAGCTGGCAGAGTGGGAGTCCCTGGGACCTGAGAGCTGGCAGAGTTGGGGCAGCTGGGACTGGAGGTGGATGGTGGGCTCCCGCTTTCCTCTCTGCCCAGCAGCATGCAGGTCCCTGCAGACGGGGCTCGGGAGTGGGGAGGGGAGCTGGGTCCAGCCCTGGTTCTGCTCACCGTGCACTTTGGGCCCGCAGGCCTCTGAAGGCCTTGGTTTCCCCACCCATCCAACTGGTGGGGGGCGGCCTGGAGGGTGCCTCAGAGCTCCTTTTGATTTCTTCTTTGGGAAGGTGAACTGGGGGCTCCTGACTGTGGGGTGGGCGCTCACCGCCTGCATCCCTGGCCAGAGGTGGGCGGGCCCGGGCTCCCCTCCCGGCCTGCGGCCTGCGTGCCTCACACCCTGCTCCCCTCCTGCAGCCCCAGGACCATGAACAACAGTACCTGCGGCTTCAGGGAGCTCCCCGGGCCCCAGGCGGCCAAGTACATCTTTTCCATCTATATGGGCGGGCTCCTGGCGCTGGGTCTGCTGTTCAACGGCCTGGCACTCTGGGTGCTGTGCTGCCGCCTGCTGCGCTGGACGGAGACCCGCATCTACATGGCCAACCTGACCGTGGCTGACCTCTGCCTGCTCTGCGCCCTGCCCTTCTTTCTGCACTTCCTGAAGAGCAGCACAGACACGCCACTCTGCCAGCTGTCCCAGGGCATCTACCTGGCCAACAGGTACATGAGCATCAGCCTGGTCATGGCCATCGCCGTGGACCGCTACGTGGCTGTGCGGCACCCACTGCGAGCCCGCGGGCTCCGCTCCCCACGCCAGGCCGTGGCCGTGTGCGCCGTGCTCTGGGTGCTGGTACTGGGCTCCCTGGTTCTTCGCTGGTTCCTGGATATGCAGGACGGCGGCTTCTGCTTCTCCAGCCGCTCTGGGCAGAATTCCTACACCGTGGTCTTCTCGCTGCTGGGCTTCTACCTGCCGCTAGCCGTGCTGGTCTTCTGCTCTCTGCAGGTGGTGACCGCCCTGGCCCAGAGGCCAGCCGCTGACGCAGGCCAGGCGGAAGCCACCCGGAAGGCCTCCCGCATGGTCCTGGCGAACCTGGCCGTGTTCGTGGTCTGCTTCCTGCCCTTCCACGTGGTGCTGACTCTGCGCACGGCCCTGGGCCTGCACACCTGTGCCATGCGTCTTGCCCTCCAGATCACTAGCAGACTCTCAGATGCCAACTGCTGCCTGGATGCCATCTGCTACTACTTTGTGGCCAAGGAGTTCCAGGGAGCTGACCGCCCTCCCCGCCAGAACCAAGGCCCACAGGAACCAGGACTCTCTGTGTGTGACCTTGGCCTAGGAGGTGGGCCACGGGCTCCTGGGCGGTGCTGCCGAGGCGGGGACCTGTGAGCAGCGACGAGGAGTTCCAGGATCGGGCTGGGGGCACTCTCACGAGGCCCAGGTGGGCAAAACCCAGGCACGGAGCATGGCGCGGGGACACCCCTACCCCTGGGGCCGAAGAGGGTCAGGGAAGACGCGGCAGGAGGACGAGGCCTGAGCGAGGCCAACGCCAAGGCCCTGGTGGGGCTGCACATCTGTTGCACCCAGAGCCTGGTACATCTGGGGTGCTGGGGGGTGGGGCCTTCTGGGTGCTGTGAAGCTCTGATGGCCAGCTTTCTGCTGCTGCCCCACAGGGGCCGGAATAAAGCTCTCCACCAAGGCTCTGTGTGTGCCACCCACACTCACATGGTGGGAGGTGGGGGGCCTGGGGGCATCTTCCCAGGTAACTTTCTAGAGCTTCCCCCTTGGGGGCTCTCCTCAGGCCCTGCCACCTGCTCCCCACCCCTGCCCACACTCCACATCCGTCTGGAGTTCTGGCAGGGCTGCTGGCAGTTCCTGGAGGGGCCACGCTGGCCGCCCTGGAGGGCTTGCTCTCATCTGCCTTGCCAGGCTCAGGCCCCGGGCCACGCCGAGTGTAGGCAGCTGGTCCTGAGCTCCCAGGCCAAGTGTAAGGAGGGGCGGAGAGGACAGTTGACTTCTGTGCCTGGCAGGTGACACGAGCGAGCGTCTGTAAGGGCCAGAGGTGGGAGGAGCCCCATGAGCCATCTTGTGCCTCAGCCTGGGGCGTGAGGAGGCCCTGTAGACAGAGACAGTCTCTGGAATAGAGAAAAAGTGAGAGACGGGAGAGAATGAGAGACAGACGAGGAGAAGGCAAGAGGGAATGGGGGTGGGAAGTGTGGAGGAAAGAAGCGGGCGCAGAAAGCAATGGGGGCAGAGTGATAGGGACAGCAGGAGAGAACGACTGGCCAGAGACAAGAGTGAGGAAAACGTTCAGCAGAGCGAGAAGGGGCATCCAAGGAAGGTGAGGAGGGAGCACGAGGGCAGCGCCGGAGAGGACGGACAGACAGACTAACAGACAGACAGACAGACGACAGGTCAGCCTGGTCTCCCCGAGGCGCCAGGCCCTCACGCTCTCCTGCAGACCGGGAGCCCCAATGGCTGGCCTGAGAGCCCTTCTGGTCCCTCAGAGGGTCCCCGAGAGTGGGTGGGGGTCCTGGATTCTCGAGGAAGGGCCAGGGGCCAGCTCTGCCTGCCACAGGAGTCTGGGGACCCCACGCCTAGGTCCGCAGGAGGATGGACCTTACAAGGGGCCACGTGGCCTGGGCAGACAGGGTAACTGGGTGGAGGTGCAGACCGGCAAAGATGCTGGGCGAGCAGAAGCCTTGGGTGGAGAGGCCCAGAAAGGACTCCCCACAGAGCCCCCTGCCTGGAAGGATGCCACGGCCCATGCCCAGGCACAAGGCCAAGGGCTGGGGCCCCTCGTCCCACGGGGCAGGGTAGGGGAGGTGGGTCCACAGGCTGGAGGGGGCCTTGGTGGAACCCCCTGAGGTTAGGGGAGGGGCACCCTGACCCAGGTTGTTCGGCGGCCCTGGGGCTGGCACTGGAAGTCGGGGGGAGAGAGGGAGAGAAAGATGGAGGGGCTGGGGGAGGGGGAAGAGAAAGGCGGCGGCATCTCCCTCCCTGGCCCAGGTGAAGCTCAACCCAGCCGGGGCAGTCCTGGCCCCTGAGCCCGCTGAAGCTCCCACCATCTTCCCCCCACCCCCTCCCAGGCCGTTGGCCTTGGTGCCTGTGGTCGCTGCCCCCGGGAACGACTCCAATGGCTGCAGTACGGGCAGGAGTGTCCTGTCCAGGTGGTGACCAGTGTCTCCATCTGCCTCCTCATGGCGCTGGGTCTGCCCTCAGCGGCCCGGCACACTGTGCGTCCTGCCACTGTCGGCGTGTAGGTTGACAGAGACCTGCATCACCTGGTCAACCAGGTGGTGGTGACCGCCCGCTGCTGCTGAGCTGGATGGATCCTGCCCCCAGGGCCGGGAGGCCACCCCGTGCGAGGTCCTGCAGGTCTCCTAGGTCGACACCTACAGGAGCAGGTGCGTCATTTCAGCGCAGCCTGAGGGGAAGCTCCGGGGGACCCTGCTATGTCCAGATTGTCATGGATCTCAGGATGTGTCCACTCCACTGGGGCCAGAGAGCCTGGCTTGGAACCAAATGACTGGATCAGCACAAACACTTGCACTGAGAAGCCCAGGAGGGCGACCGTCCTGAGCGCTCGTGCTAGAGCTCAGAACCCCCAAACTGGGACCGGGCCGGTAGCGGGGGCTCCCCTGGCGACCTCAGGTGGCCGGGTGACCGGAAGAAGGACCGGGGGGCCCAGGCCCCTCGCTGGCCCCCAGCCACGCAGGGAGACTCGCTCATGCAGAACGCGGGCGGACAGGCCGCAGGCAGGGCAGTGTCCCAGGCCAGAGCTGCTTTCCTGCCTGGCCACCAGCCTCAACCTCAGGGAGACAGACTTCTTGGCACTGAAACAAAGCAGCAGGGCCCTGGACCTGCAGGTGGTCGGCGTGGCCTGCTGGTAAACCCCCCTTTGCCCATGCAGGTGCCCCACCCATGGCCTGGCCCCGGGGTCTTCCGCCGCCAGGAGGTCCAGGCTCACCTGGCTGCCCCGGCCACGCTGACCACCGGCAGCAGTTCACCTGCCCCTCCCGCACTTGCTCTGGTGAGGTGGTGGGTACCTCTGGCCCCTGGGCACACTGCTCTGGGCCCAGGCCCAGGGACGCTTCAGATGGCCCGTCAGCAGTCTCCTCAGAGAGGCCGTTTATGTGGCCAAGGCTGCGGCATCAGTGCCCTTGGCCGCTGCTCCAGTGCCGAGGAGGTCAAGAGCAGCTGTCCTGTCCTTGGCTCAAGTGCAGAGCTTCTCGGCGTGCCAAGAGCACGGCCACAGCCCCTGCCCCCGTCTCCTCTCAGGGCTGCCTGCTGGCCAGAGTGGCAGCTGGCCGGCAGAAGGAGGTGTGGCCCTGGCCCGGCATCGCCCCCTCTGGAAACTGCAGGGCATGCGTGAAGTCCGCCCCACGGGGTCCAATCCTGACCACCGGTGGGTGGGGAGGGGGTTCCTGAAGGGGGCACCGCCATGTCATCGTGAAGAGGCAGTGCCTTGGAAGACAACCCTGAGCTGCGAGTGACCCCCGGAGGGGCCAGACCTGAGTTGACTTATACATCAGCGAGTAGAGTTAAAAGCAGCCCTGTGACAGGCACTGGACCCCAAAACGTGCACCCCGGCGCCTCAGGGGCTGCGTTCTGAGGCCTCGCACGGAGGGAGCGGGGAGGAGAGAAGCTGGGAAGTGGGCCGGATAGGATCATGGGGCCTTGCAGGGGGATGGGGTTCCGCGGGTGCTCTGAAGGTGGGGGAGGGTTTGTGTCAGAGGAGCCGGAGGCGCTCTTCGTGCGGGCCTCTCCTCGTGCTGCTCTGGGGCGTCCAAGGGAGGGATGGCCAGGGCCAGGGTGGCAAGGGCAGATGTTGGCCAGGATGAGGGCTCCGACCGTGATGGGGGTCAACACGGGACTCAGTGGGACACGCTAGAGGGGTGTGGCTAAGGAGGAAGAAAGGGGGCCCCCAGGAGTTGCGGTGTCCTAGTTCCAGTGCGGAAGGGTGTGAGGGCCGGAGGAAGCAGGCAGCAGGCAGAGGCAGCGGAGTGACCCTCCGTAACCAGGAGGGTGCTCTCTGGAGAACAGCGGGGCGGGGTTGCCCAAGGGTCACTCTAGGTTCTGTCTCTTCTCAAGGACACCCCGGACCCCACCCCCACCCCTGCAGAACCCCCAGCGGTTCTGTAGTCTTTGCGCCTCACACACTGGACTGGAGGCCGGAATCGTTGTCCTTGGCGATGCTCAACTTGCTGGTCCCAGCCCTGTGCCCCGCACGGGGCAGGGACAGGCTGGACAGGACAGCCCTGGCGGGAGGGGGCGGAGCTTCGGCGATGGGGGCGGGGCCAGGTCACCGGAGCCGCCCACGTCCCCGCCGCTCCAGGTTCCGCCCCTCGGCGCCAGGCCCGGCCCATGCCCAGGGCCCCGCCCCTTAGCGCCCCGCCCCCCCCCCCCCCCCCCCCTCCCCCGCGGGGTC